TTCTAGGACACGACCAGCCCCAAAAGCTGCAACATCACCACCCATACGACGAGATCGATTCAAAGACGTACTACGAAATTGTTGCTCTTGTTGTCTTTCTTCATCTGAGTCAGCAGGCACATGTGATGTATCCGTTCTCCAATCCCCGGAAGCAGTTGTCTGTTTGAACAACTTGGACATCTCTTCATAGTGCATTCCCCCTTGCTCCCTGAACTTCTTGAATTTGCTGTTTTGTTATAAATTGCAACAAAAACCTCTTTTATGGCATGTACCCAAAATTTGTTTGCATACAGACAACACAACAAAAAATGCCAGCCAATATCCTAAACCTTAGAATTTGGAAGGTGGAAACTGATTGTAGATATATAATACAAACAATTTTCAGTGAAGATACACAAATCAAAAAAGAATTAATATAGTTATGCCAAAAGATCTAAGGCATCTTCACCATTTCCATTCATCTACAGAACTTAATTTCAGGAATCTAAACTAGAGAGATTAATGGAAAGACACAGCATCTATGGCATGCAAATTCAAGCCATTTAATGAAAAGCAATACAATAAGAACAAATGTTTATCAACCAGCTCCAAATCTCCTCTATTTTCTTGTCATAAGCCTCAAGGTTTATGAGTAAATTAATTTTGTTAATTTCACAAAGAAATGGACAAGATCAAACTTAATGGTAGAAAACATCAAATAAGCAGTAAGTTAAAACTAACGAACTACCCGACGAACCGAAATTACGCCATCGGTAGCTCCCTATCTTTCCCAGGTATTCAGGCCATAAACCTTGAAACCTAAACATTACTAGTTCCTTAAATTGAGCAGGAAATGAGAAAATTAGGATCAATAGCAATAGACATCAAATCGGGGCCAAAAGATTACTTATTATTGGAGAAAAGAGATGAAATTCAAGCCATTTAATGGAAACAATACAATAAGAGCAACTAACAAACTGCTTTCTTTATCCTCTGTTTTCTGGCCATAAGCCTCACTTTATGAGTAAATTCATTTCGTTACAATCACAAAGAAAGGACAAGTCAAAATTATGGCATCAAATATCAAATAAGCAGCAAGTTAAAATTAACGAGCTACCCGACGAACCGAAATTAACCCATCAGTAGCACCCTATCTTTCCCCTGTATTCAAGCCATAAACCTTGAAACCCAAACTTTTTTAGTTTATTAAAGTGAGCAAGAAATGAGAAAATTTGGACAGAAGTTATACACATCAAAAAAACAACCTAACATGTATATGTGATTAAGCATTGGGATAATCGAATTACAGTTGGAAATAAAAATTTGTAACTGAATAACATTTGTAATTTTTTGTAGTTAATGAACAATAGAATCAATATTTCAATTTACACATTCTACATTATTTAAGTGATTCATAAATTTCAGAATCGGACATCAAAAGTTTGCTTGGGGGAAAACTTGTAACTTTAAAGTCGTAATGAATCTTTGAGCAACCTTCACAAAACCAATAGTTATGTGATTCATAAATGTTTTATGCTACATTGCAGGCAAAACCAGCACAGTATGCCAGAATCAGATTAGCTTGAAAATCACAAAACTCTGTATCTTAGCAACATAGAATCATGATGCATAACTTGGTTCTCACTACTCTACAATAGGTAAACTCGCGAACTAAATGATTCTAATAATGATGCATAATCATGATGCAATGTTTATAAAGGAGTTCTGAAACATGGAAGAACGTTGTTACAGGTTAAGCCTTCAATCCTCTTTGTCACTTAAAGAAATTCAAATATTCAAACATCAAATAGAAGAAATTCTTTCCAGAAAAAGGTCATGACAAATAATGCAAAAAAGTTCTGCCATTTGCTAAAGGGCAGAGATGAAATGGGCTTCCACCATTACAACAGATAACAATCTTGAAGGGGTAAGATAAAAAACAAAAGTGTCAATTTAACCCATGAAAATTGGATATTGTGGCATCTTGGGATGAGGTCCTGCTAAGGATTGGGTACATCATATGATTCCATTCAGAGTAACAAAGAATATCACAATAACAACAGAGATTAATTGTCTGATGGAAAAGGACGTGGAAGGAAGATATGCTTTATCATTCTTTGGACTCTACACTCCTGAATATGAGGCGAATTATTCATTATCAAAATTTTTAATTATACAGACAAAGAGAAGTTTATACTCATTAATTCCATCAGTTTTCTTGTATTGTCAGGGTCAAAGCCCCACAAATTTATGAAAAAATTCATTGTTAATATCAAACAGATGGAAACAATGTAACAGATCTTTTCTGTGTTTAACCAAAAAGGGACCATCTTGAAATTGAAATGACACTATAAACAGCATTAGAGTTTCACTGAGCTTAAAAATCCATTATTCCAAAGACTATATTCTCAAGAACATCTCATACAAAGTTGGAACCAGGTCAAAGTGCAACGCAGGTGAAAAGGCAGAGAAGATCAAAAGTAACATGTCAAACAGGGCATAAAATAAACCAATTTTCCATTACCTGGATCCACTGAGCCCATTATTCTGGCCCTGCTAAAATGGCTCCAGTTTCAGGATCAACTCCCACGCCGGAAAAGTCACGTAGTTGTTTGTACAAGCACCATTCTTGACGAAGCCGGTTCATCTTTTGTTGTAATTGCTGACCTGAGAAAGACCGTTTGTTTGGAAAGCGCCTATGCAGCTCCTCAGCGATCTCATCAAATTTTTTCTTTGTGAAAGTATTTGAAGTAAGACAACCTTTGTCCTGGGCATCAAGCATTAAGTGGACAAAGTGGCTTACCTCCTCTGGTAACATCTCCATTCTTTCGGACTCCATTTCCTATAGAAAACTATTTTGTGAGACATGAATAAATATGAGGTGAAACAGAATCAGCCCAGCTTGCCATAAATGGGCCTATATTCAGCTTGTTATTGTTTTTAATTTTTTTTTTTGTAAATTATAAAATGAAAACCTTATTTGCACATCTATACTTCTTCGTAATTTTTTATACAAAGCCCAAGGTTGTTTGATGATGTTTCGGATTCAATAGCACTACTTTGGATACAAGTATGGGAATCCTCACTGTTATTGTCGCCTACATATTGACCGAAATCATTAATCAAACTCAAGAGCTTGTCAAAAAATGAACCTGCTCGACATCGAAAAGGTTAAAGAATGGGCATACTTGACTTAAGGTGATAGCCTACATCAGTGAATATTGTGTCATCGAAGCATTTGGAGGGAACACCTTTCCCAGATTTTTGTTCGGACATCACAAAAGAACCGGACCTCAAATCTACAAAGAGTTGCCAACTTGACATGATCATTAACCAAGTCAAAATGATTAAATCTAGGTGAAAGTTTGTTATTGGGGGCAGGGAAATTCATATTAGGTGCAAAAATAATGTAAGTAGTTCCTGCATTCACTACATTCACCAAATTCACAACAACCCCTAATGTAGCTACTTGACCAGTTTAAGCGGAAAGAAAGTGTAACAGGCAACGGGAAGGAATACAGTTGTAAAATGGAGGAGATAGGAGACTACATCGAGGACAATTAGGAAGGAGTTCGGAATCGACCGAACACAACATATCATCACCATAAACCCCAACATTCTTTCATCGAAGCATTATCATATAAAACGTCAACAAAATTAGGAAATTGTTCAAAAAAAATTAATTGTAATTCCTAAATAGAAATAAGACTTAAATTACATAGACGTGAAAAAAAAAAATTAAACACACCTCCTTATACGTTTGATAAACGCGCCGGGTTGCTTGATGGGAGACTGCAACAAGGTTTCAAAACCCCTTCACACTAGATCTATTAGGACAATGCCGGCTCTACTGTGTGATCTTTTGAATCGGAAAATACAGGGTGAATGGTTGAACACAGTCGAAATCGATACGCCACAACCTTCAGCCAACAAAACCACAAATTCCGATAACAGAGAGGAAAATTTACTCCACGCGAATTGAACTACATGTTCTATGACCAAGTTCCTTCGATGGATTAGAACTTAGAATAAGAGAAGAAAATTTTTCTATTGATTTGTGCAAAATATTGGTATAATTCACTGTACCCAGATTTGGAATGGAGTTTTTCTTGATAATTGGTGCATGACCGTACGGAGGAAGGAATGAATTTGGGGAAGAAATAGATGAAATCATCAATGACGGAGTGAATGCTCCTAACGCTCACGAGCCATCTGAATTATTCTGTTGCTTTTCAGCTTTTACTGAAGGAGAATATGACCGTTGATGAAACCCATCAGAAATGATACTATTTTAATTGGAATGGACAAAAAAAATAACGGACCAAATAAGTCTGTGATGAAAAAAAGCCTAAAAAAATTGGAGTAAAAAAGGAACCAAACAAGGCCTAAGTGTTAGATAGTAGAAGACTTTTTTGAAGCATTTATGCATCAACAATTCTCTTGACTGCTTTTATTTGCTAGTTTAAACTACTTTACTCGATTCTCTTTCAAAGGAATTCTGGGTTTTTTTTTTCGTTTTTTCATTTTTTTTTTTGCCTCTTTTGATTTTACAGAGAGAGTATGTAAAAAAAATACACTATTTATTTATTTATTTTTTTGGTCTTAAAGCCAGTTTAGTGTGGTGGAGGTGAATAGTTTGAGCATGGTGAATATGGTGAATGGGGATGAGGTTGTGCTTGGTATATATATCAAGCCTTGGTATTGGCTATACGTGATTTGTTAAAGAAGGAATGGACCGTCAAATTAAGCATATTTTCAGGGAGTCGAATTTTGCAGCTGATTCACGAGCCAGTATAGCGGTCACTAGTTCGGGCGATCTTGCATGGCTTTATGAGTCGCCTTAAAATTGTTGGTGTTTCACACTATCGAGATGTAATCCTCTAGTTATTAAGGCATTTGCCTCCTTTTTTTGTAAAAAAAAAATTAAAAAAAATCTCCACTTGTTTTATGAGTCTAGAAGATAACTTTTTTGTAATTTTCAACAACCGATCAGTTATTCATCATATTTTCAAAAAGTTGTACTCGAAATGATAAATTTATGCTCAAAATGATTATTCACTTAAATTTCTTTTAGTACAAATTAAAGGGCAATAAAGGGCCGAAGCCGTAGATGCTTTCTTCCATTGAAAAGCTAACGGGACTTTCATTTCGCCATGGCTATGGCTTATAGTCTTGGGAATTTGCCGTGGAGTTGCCTTTCATACACTCCCCACACCATAAAAACATCCTCATCAGTCTCAAATATGCACCGAAAACCAGCACCGAAATCACATATTTTGTGTGCAGAAAATAAGAAAAAACGATGCTTGAGGTGCAATGAATTCTATGAAGATAAAACTAACTCTCCAACAGCTTGCTCTTTCCATGGCCACACCACTGGTATGAGAAAATTAGTATTGTTGATCTTTTTATTCATATGATGAATTGACAAATTGTGTGATAGGAATGTATAGCAGAATTCCAATGGGACGGGTTTTAGATTAATGCCTTTTTGATAATTATTTATCACTTTTTGGAGCTGGGCTGTGTTGGGTTTTGAAATCATTGAAAGAACTTCTAGTACTGTTTAACACCTAGTAACTGGCAATCTATCCAATTCAGTTTTTTTTTTTTTTTTTTTTTTGCCCCTTTTTCAATTTGATTAGGAGTTCTTTGATTCATGGAGGGCATACCTTTTTTTTCCGGTGCATAATAATTGTGTGGGAAACTTCTGATTGGATACACTGGTTTTAATTGTTACTGACAAAATTCTAATTGTGGTGCTTGCTGTTGTTCCATTTTTATGAGAGGTTATAGGGATTTAGGATATAGAGATAATACTCAAGATGCAGAAATTGTGATTTACTTACTGCCTTAGGTTGAATCTGGACTTAAATTAGGAGAGAAGACAGTTTGGTGATCTTAAGGGCTTCTTGATTTTGCAATTTGAAGGATAAAAGAACCATCTTGTAATCAGTACTGCATCCTAAGTCCTTTAATAAATGTTCTTTCGAAGCTGACTATATGAATGTATTCAAAGCCCACGTGCATGGAACAAATAAACGAAATTCTCATAAATTACTCCATGACCATCAGTAAATCTGCAGTTGGAATTCACTACAGGGCTGTTTTTCTTCAAAGGTGTCTATGAATGGCACTTTAGAAAGCAGCCAATTCCCTTTGCTTTGCTTCATAATATTCCCATGCCATCTTTTGAAGATGAATTAGCAGAGTTAAACTTGAATTTCTGATTTGATGGTACCCAAGTTGATGCAATTTTCCTTGCCTGTTACAAATTTGTTCCTCAGAAAAATGGGTACCGGTTGCAACTCTTTCTGGAAAATTATTGAATTCTGTAAAGATGCGCAAACGTTGATTAGTTTGTTGCATAACATGACTTGCTTGGTATTTCGTCAAATTACTTGTCACATACCTGGATATCTTGTCTTACTGACAGCAGTTTCTGTAGGTGCTTAGTAGGGGTTATAGATGTAGGTAAATGTATTCCACAATGTGCTACCGATTCTTCCCTTTCTAATGGGATCAAGATTTTATTTTTTTCGGATGCTTGGAAACTATTCTTATACGTTCAGGTTTATTAGCATGTTGATGGTGTTTGCTGGCTGACGTTATGCTTGATTCTCATATTATGTAGTTGAAACTGATGCAACTGATACACTATATAACTATTTTGCAATTTTACTTGAGATTCTTTGTAGAATCCTTATAGTGTTACCCTGCCTATCAAACTTGTGAATCAATAGTTCTTCACAGCATTAGGATTCATAAGAATTACAGTAATTCTTATTAAATCTCTGTTCTGACTTCCATTCATGGAAATTTGTAGGAGAGAAAGGATTATTTGCATTTGCCCCCCCTCACCAGGGCATCGATGGAGAGTGGAGTGATAAATCTGGTGTTATAGTCTACAGATGGAATCAGAAGGATAATAGGCCAAATACCGGTATATCGAACTGGAAGAAGCGCTGGAGCTGTTGTGCTGAGTATGATGAAAATGCACCACCTTGTCAGCAGGGATGGCATGTTTCGTATGACGATGGCTTTACTTTGTACTAATGGTATCTTGCCTGATCTCATTATGTACTCCTTTATTTGTTATGTCACGATATGCTCACAAGTCAGAATGACTGACCTGTGTAAATGTTATTGTGCATGATTGCTGCCCTATACTTTATAAATTGCCTCATAGACGTTCAAAGTAGCATTAGTTGCAGTTGAAAACCTAAAATTGCTTTTGCTGTGTGATAAACTGAATTTTCCGACTACACATGCACTTTGACAAACTGGTGCTGTTTCTGGGATTGCTGTGAATTTCCTTTTCCTGAAAAGTAAACGTTTTGTTCTTACATTGTGTATAGATAATGAATATATACATCAAGCTTAATTTGGTGATTAGATTGACAAATAACAGAGCTTTCAGCTCTACGTTGCAGTCAGTTTTCTGATGAGAAAATGATCAGTGACAAAAATGTTTATGCTGATAGTAGTGATAAAAAAGGGGGCTTATCATCCTCCAATAGAATAATTACATCTTCGAACAAAGTAAGAATCAAAACGGATCCTTTATCCAGTAGAAGCAGAAAACATGATAAAACGAGTAACAAAAACCTCCATGGACAAAATTATACAACCGCATATACATCTTTATCCCACTGTTTTGAATGACTGGTGGATGTGCCTCAATGCATCTTGGTCTCTGTTCCATTCTGGTGTTGGAGCATTTACAAAATGAGCATATAACTTATTCTTTGCACAAGTTACTGATATTAAGCTATGAGCACCAACTCCATCAATCTCATACTCGTAATACACTTGACCATTCTCATCCTTCCTCTCATTTGATGTCACACTGTCAGCACTGGCAATGAGGTCCTGCAAGTTCACATCTGACAATGCCAAGTTATTCAGCACAACGTCTTTTGGGGCAAGTTGCCGAAAACCAGCAAGGTACGTCAAGTATTCTTTCTCCGTTTTCTTCTTTGGATTGTAAAATTCACTGTCTGTTCCATTAGTTCCCTTCTCAACCTTTGATACTAGCCTCTCTTTCCATCCATCAGGGACATCGTAAATGTACTCTGCCGATGCCTTCTTGTCCGAATTCCCACCATAGCCGCCGTAGTTGGCTGCACTAGCAGCTGTACCATAGTATATAAAGTAATTTGAAGGTGAGTCTGCTGCTATTGAAGGGAGTGTTGATGAGGTCAGGATTGTTGTGGCTAATGCAGTGGCGGTCAGAGTGGTGGCTAAGGTAGTGAAGGCTGTTTTGGGAGGCGGAATTCCGACATGGGATCTTGATGTTGATGGTGAAATTGATGGCTTTGAAGAGGATGGAGTAGCATTGGAGGAGGAAGAAAGAACTGCAGAGGGAGAGAAAATGGTGGCCATGGAGTTGGGAATTTGGATGGGAAATCCAACAAGTGGATATGATTGTTTCCGTTTGGACTTTTGGAGAGGAATTTATGATTTATCACTATATCAACAAAAAGATATTGCAGTTTGGTCCCTCATATATTGGTATATTGAACTACGACTTATTTAAACTTTTGTAATAATTTTTAGTTCTTTACATTTGCTTTACATTTGTGAATCGAACTTTTAGTTTTGAGTTTTCTTATTTGCAAACTAGTTTATCAGCCCGGGCAACATCTTTAAAAAAAGAGTATGTAGAATAGAAAGAAAAAAAATATTTGCTTATGATAAAAAAATTTTACAAGAAAAAAATCAAAAATAAAATAACGCCAATCCTTTTAACTCGATTGTCAATTTTTATTCTACTATTTACTTTCAAAAATAGATGCCTAAAATTAATTGATCCATAAAATTAAATTAATCTATTATGGTAATTTTAAATACATGCCTAAAATTATGGCATTCTTTTCCGAAAGTAACTGCCACGTGGCTTTTGTGGAGTTTAGGCGGGAATTTTTATTTTTTTTTTGTTGTGGAGCTATTACGTGGCTCTTGTGATAGCTGCTTTCAATAGGTATATAAATAGATAAATAGATGCTAACCAATTCATATGAAATTCCTTCGAATGTGTTATACACGAAATTTGAAGCGGAATAAAACTCTTACATTTTTGTCACTTTGGCTATTACAAAAATAATAATTGTATTTTATTTTATATTTAATATTTATTTCATCTTCAATTTATTTTTTCTATAATATTTTGATTTGGAAGTAAAACAATTTATGATACTAATTAAGTATGTTTTTTCCTTGGTAAACAAAAAGGGTGAAAAAAAAAAAAGCTCAAGAAGTCTACTTCTCTATCTATATAATGAGAAGCTCTAATAGCTTGTTTCCTTATCAATGGAAAGAAAGCATTTCTTCAAACTATAATGAATATCAAATTGTTGAAAATTCGAGATTAAAATGAACTAGTTAAGGCATGATTTTAATATGGCAAACGAGGACAAATTGAGAGCAATTAGATAGGGAGAGAATTCAAGGAGAATGAAGTCTAAGAAGCAAAAGCATATTGTAATCCAATTTTTCAAATTGTAATCATAGGCATAATTTACCATACATATTATGTTCGGTAAACATGTTTTTATCTCTCAAATGCATGTTTGGTTTGTCAAGACATGAACTACTAAAGGCGTTTATTTGCCAACAAATACAAAACCATTTCTTTACCCCTCAAAATTCTCATTATTGGGGTAAAAAAACCTTAATAACTTTCTAAACCTCAGTTGCTATTCTTTTTTTATTTTTTATTTTTTAAGAATCTTGGGGAGTTGGGTGCAATTAGCCTTTAAATTCCTCCTTTTTGTTTGAGATAATTTCCTCCTTTAATCTTCTCATTCACATGGGGATATTAAGTATATATTTCAAAAGTTCGGGGACCAATTATTCCAAATTTGAGAACCATTAACTTTTATAGCAATCGAACCGCCAAAAGCCCTATATTTGCTCCGCTTGTTCTTGGAGCAAAATTTTCCCTTCGTTTCTTCGTTCAGAGCCTAAGCAAATTTTCCAACAAGAAGCATGTCTAAACAGAGGTAATTTTGGCACTCTTTATTTGAACGTTTTCTTCTTTTGAATTCGTAGCCAATTCGAATGCGTTGAAGTTTTTTTCCTTTTGGTTTTTGTTTTAATTGTTTTATTTTTTTTTTTTCTCGTTTCAAGCCGTTCTTATTGGTAATCTTCTTCCTCATAAAATTCAGAGATATTTGATCATGAAAGGGTAATCCCATATGCTTTTTTTCTCTGCCAATTCCATATCGATCATGTTTTTTCATTTATTTAAAAAAAAATGGAAAAAATTCGTGAATTTAGGCTGCGTCTTTAAATTGGGAGTATCTTGAATTCAAATGCCCAGCAATTTTCTTGTACTGTTTAGTAGTATTATGTTTAATTTCTAAGGATTGAACGTGCTTATTCGTTTTGATATCCATAGCCATTGACTGAGATAGAAGCTCGTTTTGATTATTCTAAATTGAACAAATAATTTAGAGGATTTTTTTCTGAATTTCTTCCATGATCAATGGTTATACTTTGCGAAAGAAGTTACTTTCATTTGATTTTAATTATGATGCATCGAGGCGCTTTTGCTTTCTGCTTTCTGCAAAATGTTTTTTCATTTTGTGTGTGTGTGGGGGGGTTTTTTTTTCCAAAGTAGCGGAAAGTTGATTTAAGCGAGAGGTTCTGTGTGTTTTGCACATATTTGCAAAACCAATAAATGAGTGACCGCCATGTTCTATTTGGTTGTACTTATCATTTTTACAATCTTTTTTTTTATGTATAAAAAATTATCATTTCTTGTTCTGGGTTGGCATTGCTTTTGTAGAAAGCTCCTGATTCTAGGAATAAGTTATTGAAAGCAAAATTATTATGTTTTGAATTCCTCCAGGACTCTTTGCAAGTTCTTTGTACATGGAGCGTGTTTAAAGGGTGATCACTGTGAGTTTTCGCATGACTGGAAGGACCCTCAGAACAACGTAATATTTCCCAATTTTGTGTTATACCAGAACTGTAATAGCGGGATTGAATTTTTATCTTAGAATATTTAATTTTATGACCCTTGCAGGTGTGCACGTTTTATCAGAAAGGTATTTGTGCTTATGGGAGCAGATGCAGATATGAACACGTTAAAGCTTCTCGCACCCCGTCATCATCTTCGTCTTCATCAGCGAATCCTCCGGAGTTCTTATTATCAGAACCTATTTTATCTGCTCCTTCTTCTGGAGCTCCTTCGGTTCTTGAGGGTCATGTTCCCAGCACTACTGCAGATCTTTCATTCTCAAGCCGCTCTTCGGCTAATGAACCAGCATGGGGGAAAATTGTGGGCCTTGATGTCGAATCACAAGATATTAGTATAGGACAGAAAAGAAGTCTTAATCCAGCTGATCAACCTATCTGTTCTTTTGCTGCTGCTGGTCATTGTCCTCGTGGTGAAATGTGCCCTCACATTCATGGAGACTTATGTCCAACTTGTGGGAAACATTGCCTACATCCTTTTAGGCCTCAGGAGAGGGAGGATCATTATCAATCATGTGTGAGAAGGCAAAACCACCTGGAGGCATTAAAGTGCAGTCAAGAAATAGAGTGTAGTGTCTGCCTTGAGCGTGTACTGTCAAAGCCCACTGCAGCTGAACGCAAATTTGGAATACTTTCAGAGTGCGATCATCCATTCTGTATAGGTTGTATTAGGAATTGGCGCAGTAGTTCTCCAGCATCTGGAATGGACATGAATTCTGCACTGAGATCTTGCCCCATATGCCGAAAGCTCTCTTACTTTGTCATTCCTAGTGTTATTTGGTATTCCAGCAAAGAAGAAAAGCAGGAGATTGTTGAAAGCTACAAAACAAAACTCAGGTACAATGAATGGTTATACCAGCACCCTTCTTCCATTATGCTTAATAATATATTATGATATGTAACTTTTTTGTGAATTTCCTGTTGAGCTCTTTGAACTACAGCTAGTTCCTAAATTACATGTGTTTTTTTAACTTGTCATGTGTACTTTTTTGCCTTGAAAATAATCTCTCAGCTACTACGAAAATTACGAGGCCAAGGTTTTGTTAGGTTTGTGGGTATGATGGTTCTTTGTGCTGTGCTCTCCTTTTTTTTTATTTTATTTTTTTATGTACCCCTTGCTTCATTTTAAAGGTTTGTCTTGTTTTTGACGCATATATTATATGTTATTGTTATATTTCCTCTTTGGTTAGACTTCTCTGAGAGTTATAACAATTTTATATTGCTGTAAAGGTAATGTTTGTACTTGTGTTAATATTAAATGATTGGTTACACCATACTCTTTTCTGTTGTAAAGTCTCTAGTAAAGTGTTGAGATGTCCTGTTCAAATCTGATCACCTTATTTGATACGCCATTTATTGATATATGTAGTTCTGTTTGACATTATGCTAATGATTTTCTTCTTATATGTAGCAACAAAGTTCCCTTGAAATCTACTTCTGTTCCTCTCTCTACCCTATGATTTACATACATGCACATGTCTTCATGAAAGTGGTCAGATATCTTAAGCATATGATTTACCGTAGATTAGTCACCATGAAAGAGTTGAGACGGCCCAAGCATGCACAAATCTTGAGCAGTTACAGTCTCCTTTTTGCTAATTAAATTAGATGGATGCTAGGTTTGTTGGATACTTAAATATGAGTAGTCCAGTTTGATTTTATGCATATGATCTACTACTTTAAACGTGGTTTCTAGGTCTGTTTAGAAAGCTTCCTTTTTGTTTTGTTTTGTTTTTTTTTTTTTTTTTTTTTTTTGGTCTTATGTCCCTATCATCTTGACAAATGCGTGTTGTTCTTTCAGGTCCATCGATTGCAAGCACTTTGACTTTGGAAACGGGAGCTGCCCATTCGGGACTAGTTGTTTCTATAAGGTATCTATGGACTCTTTCATTTTCTCTTGCTGCATACACTCTTCTTTGGCTGAATGGTGTAAGAATGTACAGTTCAAAAGTAGATATTGTAGACCGACATGCTCTAGGAAAAACAAAAGCAACCAAACGCACATTGAAGATATTGTAGTATGGCATGGCTTGATGATGGTTTTGCAAGTTTTTCTCTGATTTTAGTGAAACGAAGTGGATATCCTCTTTGAAGTAGACCTTTCAGAAATTATCTTATGATGAAGCTCATTATGTTGAGAATTTCCCTGTTGCCTAACAGGTAAACTGCTCATGTAATGAAGAGAAAGAAGCATAGAGTTTTTAAACTCCTTCAATTACTTAATCGTTGGCTTCGCTAAACTTTTGACTTTGAATATGATTAAATTGGTGCACAATGAAGAAATTTGTGTGCCATTTTGTTTTGTTTGAAACCATATTAAGTTTGCATATTGAATTGCTTGTTTTTGTCCAACATGATATGCGTGAGTTTTGAGACTAAAAATCTGATGATTTTTGATACTTTCATTTGCTTGTAATTCCTATAGCACAAATTGGAATAAATAGTTTTGTAAGTGATGATTTTCTTATGACTTATAGCTTATTTAATGTTTCATTGACTCTCCGCTGTGGTCATATCCATTTTATCTCATCGAGAAAATGGATGTGGGAGATATAGATTTCGATAGTGTATGAGCTACATGCCAAACTTTGTAGTTATTTATTCAGCATATCAACTTTAACTAATGTGCATTGTGCAGCCCAGTGCACATCACATTTAATCCGGATTTACATTCAAACTTAAATGGGGGGAAAATTGCCTTTTGCTCAAAGTTGGGTCAAGTTTGTTAATGGTCCAATTCCAATGGACCATTAATGCTAGCAGATTTTGCTGTAATGCTAGCAGATTTGCTTGAGCTGACACAAATGGAAGTGTTGTGTCTCAATCATCCGACTGTAGCAACTTCTCCTTTGCATCGTCTATTCAACCTTATTATAAGGTTCTTGGAGTGCTTGGTATGAATTTAAAATGGCGAATGAAAAGTTCAAAATCTGGATATTCTGTTGAACTGGTCGTCCCCTGAGTTGAGTGAAACTTTGTACTTGTCTACAGTTGGGTTGGGACTATGTTTCTTGGAGGATCATAAGTCTTTTGAAGAACTATAAATTTCTGAGGAATTTATTGGTAACTAGACAATTGCTTCAGCATCTATGTAGGTTTAAAAATCTCCAATTGTTAGACTGTAGATGTATCTGCTTTGGGGAGCATTCAGATGGGAATATAGTTTGGTATCTTGAGCCCTTTACTGCCAAAGGGGAAATTTTTTATGTTTGTCCTCGTCCTATGGTTGTTCTTTGTCTATATTTTTCTAGATCTGTTTCCAAACATTTGGGGTCTGGATTTTTTTCACTTGAAGTTTTAGTTTGAAGAAAGTATGCTTTTGCTCTGCAAATTTTATATGAAAACCCAAAATTGCTGCAGCTGGATATTTTCAGTGTAATGTTTTAAACCATTTCGGGTTTACAAGCATAAGGATATATAATGCTTCACTATGAATGTGATTTGCAAATGAAATGACAGTGTCTTTCGTAGATATCTGTAGTCTCTAATTCCTTAAGGCTTTCTAAATCGTGTTGGCACTCTTTCATGGAACAAAAACTCAGAATGCATTAGTATAAACTGCAACTTTTTTTTGGTGGTATAAACTGCAACATTAACTTTAGTTTGATATACATTTGCTATGCAATTAAGAAATGCAACAGATGGGTGAGTTGATAAAGGAGGTTGCCCACCCTTGAATTGGGTTCAACACCTGGGGTTGGTGATAGGAATAAAATAAAAGTTCATCACTATTTATTGTTGAAAATCATGTAGTTCCCTAGAAGCTGATCTGCATAAATTAGCTTAGATTCTGCTCTATGTCCCAACATGTAGTACTGCCAAGTATTAGTATTTTGGCTAAGATTAGGCTACATTAATGAAGGTAATAAATTGTATATTACCTAAAACTAATGTGCGAGTTTCAGTAAGGATGTTTATTCCTCCTTTCTTTGTTGAACACTAGAAAAAAGGACAGATATCTGCAACTTGGTGGTTAATTTATGTTTTGGAGTGAGAAAGGTTATGCCGAGGGAATTCCACTATTTTTATTGTTGCAATATCTGGTTGTGCATTATTTTCAGCACAAGCTTGGATGATTGGCTTATGCATGCCCTCTTTATTTCTAACAGCATACCGTGAAGCCTGGCTCCTATGTATGGAATTCTACAGTGATGCATGATATATACCCCTCAAGATTTACAGGTTCAGATGAAGAGGAATCTAGCAGCCTTAGAGTGGATGAAAATGCTTTGCAATATTTGTTTGAGCACTTTTACTGTCCGCAAATGGCTGCAAGCTTAGAAGATGATAATGAATCTGACATTGAAGTATCAGAAGATGATATGGCTGAAGCAGTTGCATTTATGCTAGCTTTGGGATTGTAGAAACGAGTATCATATTGAATAATTAGCATGTCAACCTTGAGCTGCTTAATTTGGTTAATTACTTGTGGTGGCCTTTAGGCTCGATCACATTTTTATTGGTTGGAGTTTTGATTGGATAGTCCTGCGAAGAAGACAGCAGTACTCTTGTTTGTAGTTGCTCAGAAAGGATAGAAAACTTATTTTGTCATTCATGGTGGTTGGACATGGGAGGATGTCTTCATCTTTTCTCATTTGTTTTTCCTCTTAATAATACATATTTTACTATTTTATTTTGTTTGTTTGAGACCTTAATTAACCATTTGCTGGTTCCTTCAACTGTTTATGTTGGGCAATTTTGTCTATTTCTTTATTATCTTTGAGTTTTTGGTCCTTATATTACGTAATGAGTGCTTTCGTTGGTATCTGTAGGCCTTGTTTATCTTGTCCTGCACTTCAATTTGCCTGATTAGCTGACAGGTGAGGTGTCTCTTATTACAGCATGCTTATCGTGATGGCCGTCTGGAGGAAGTAACTCTACGTCACCTAGGGGCCGAAGATGGACAAACCGTGATAGCGAAAAATATCAGGTTTGAACTTTCTTGTTCATAGTTAGTGCCTAACAAGTGCCTCCTGCCCTTTCCCTCCACATTGTGTAATTTGTGTTTTTCCTGGTCCAATTCACAGGCTCTCAGATTTCCTCAGTAATTTGCAAATAAGGTGATGATGCTTGTGGATTTCAGGGTATGTGTTGTTGCATTTGTTGTTTTCTACTTAAAGTTCGCCTTCTACTCCTATTATTTATTGAATAGAGGAATAGTTCCTGAACAAATTAATGTGTTTCTTCATCAGATTCTTTATTCATGCGATTTGATTAATGGTTGTTATATCTACTTTATGTTCCATTAACATCTCTAGCATGGGAAGTGGTTCTTCTGAGATAAAATTAAGCCACTTTGTAGCCTACTATCACATATGTCATCTCCTTATCTTGCATCTTTTCCTTGATATTATGTGTTGTAATTGGCAAGGAAGGGAAAGCTTCATTTAATTTTGCCACTCTAGGGAGTGGCTTCTGATCTTTTCTCTTCCTATCATAACGGTCTTCCCATGTTGCATACTACTAATAGAGTAGTAAAACAGCTTCCCAGTAACTCAAACTGGGGATGTCTTAGGGAAATCAAGGACATATTCTTGAGAATAGCATAAATTCCTGGTGAGAAACCCTTGTAGTGGTGAGATGCTTTTATCATGTGTTTGTCAGTTTTTAGCTTGTGTGACATTTTCGGAGACTCGAGTTTCTCTATCATGTTCTGATCAACCTCTTCTGTTTCCTTTTTGGTTCTCAAAAAAGAAAATGCAGGCAAATTGCATGCAGTTATTAAATTTCCCGTGTCAGCTCTGAGTCAAGAGGTCTAGGTTGCGTATAGCTTGCATTTTGAAAGAGTGTTTAGAATTGCATCACATCTGGAAATATCATCGAGACTACTGGTCATGAAATATATTTTGGGACTTTAAAAATATGGTCTAATTTGCTAGTACAAAAGCTCATTCGTGCCATGATACCTGAATGGCCTTTAAGCAAACCCTTTATTTTGAACTTATTTATTTTTAGATTACTCGATGGACACTTATCTGTACCTTTTATAAACACATTTTTGGGTAATGTGCTACTTGGCTGCATTTTGTAGGGACAGAACTTTATTGTGTGGACACGTGAGTAACTTGGTCATTCTATAGTATTCAGTAAGCATGTGTCTGTGCTTGTGACATCAACCCCTGCAAATTCTCATTGAATATGGTTTTAATTATACAGAATTGTTCACTTGACGTAATTGACACTGATCTTTAACATCTGCCATTTTGGGGTCCTTGATTTTAGTGAACTTATTTTCGGCTCTACTTTCAGGGGTGTGATTTAGGGGGACTATATTCATCATCGTGGTCAATACTTTGTTAAAGATGTCTGGAAGAAGCTACTTGCTTTGACGGGGGTTGTGCGACAAAGTTATACAGCACAATGAAACAGCGAGCCTAGAGAATCGAAGCGAGGATGAACATGCGCCCCCCTATTTATTTAACTTCTGTACTATTTGGCATCTTTTCGGGGGTATGAAAAGGTTATGTAATGAATGTAATTCGTTGCCAATCAGTAAGAACATCCTGCTAAACATTTTGATGATGCAACGACTATGGAGAAAGCATCTGAGCATTGATATTGTGAAGAATATAAGCCTTGAAAAGGGAACAAAACTTCAGTGTAGACTGAAGTGTTGTTAGAAAAGGAATTTATACAAAAAGTGATACAAAGGATCTCCCCAAAATTTCGTCTTCTCAATTCCTGTTTGTTCCCTTTTATCTTACAACTGGTCTCAACGTTGCACCGTGCAACATTATATTTTCGTCGAGTTTTGGATACATTTACATTAGTTTTCACTTTGGAGGGAATATAACGAGTATCTTTGCTGGACAAACTGATGGATACGGTTGTGCATTTTTGAGAATGAAAATGAATCAGAGTGGTTCTTTTTCCTTATATTGTTATAAATTCAATTTTGAAATTATTTTAGGTGTAATAATTTAAATCGAAATAGGACGGAATGAACATCTTTATTGCGAATGGAGAATAGTCACACTTAAAGGCACATTCTATCGAAGGAATTCATAAAAGTTGAGTGCATTCCTCATTCCTGAAACTGGAAAACCAATCTAAAGCTCTGTCTCTGCCCAGAGAAGCAGCCGCTGAGGCAGTTTTCAGGATTATGGAATGGCAAGGACTTTTTTGTTCAAACAAGTTGGTGGAGACCTCTCGTTTCTCAACTCATCCCCCTTCGCTAAACTCTTGGATTCGTGCATTAGCTCCAAGTCAGCTGGTGATGTGGGTCGTGTCCATGCCAGAATCCTCAAAACCCAGTTCAGGCATGAAGTTTTCATCAACAACAGGCTCATTGATGCCTATGGGAAATGTGGGGTTTTGGACAGTGCTAGAAAAGTGTTCGACAGAATGCCTGATAGAAATATCTTCACGTGGAACTCAATTATTGATCAGCTTATGGTGTCAGGAGGACTAGTTGACGAGGCTGAAAAGCATTTCCATTTGATTTCTGAACCTGATCAATGCTCGTGGAATCTAATGGTTTCCGGGTTTGCTCGTCACGAGTTCTTCAGTGAGTCACTTGAGTATTTTGTGAAGATGCATTCAGAGGATTTTAAGTTTAACGATTACTCTTATGGCAGTGCACTTAGAGCTTGCGCTGGACTCAGGGACTTTAAAATGGGTACTCAAATCCACGCTTCGGTGTCTAAATCTTTCTACGCATCGGATGTTTTCATCGAGTCTGCCCTTATTGATATGTACTCAAAGTGTGGGCGTGTGAGTTGTGCTCAGAAGGTTTTTGATGGAATGAAACAGCGCAACGTGGTATCCTGGAATAGTTTGATTACCTGTTATGAGCAAAATGGGCCAGCAAATGAGGGTCTAATTGTCTTTCGGAACATGATGAACTGTGGGATTGAACCAGATGAAATGACTTTGGCTAGTGTGGTCAGTGCCTGTGCGAGCTTGAATGCAGTTAAAGAAGGTAAAGAAATTCATGCGCGTGTCATAAAGTTCGATAGATTTAGGAATGATGTCATTATATGCAATGCACTGGTAGATATGTATGCAAAATGTGGCCGAATTCTTGAGGCAAGGTGTATTTTTGATAGGATGCAAACAAGAACAGTGGTGTCAGAGACTTGCATGGTTAGCGGTTATGCAAAAGTAGCAAGTGTGGAATCTGCTAAGGCATTGTTTGGCAGAATGATTGAGAGGAATGTAGTATCTTGGAATGCACTGATTGCTGGTTATACACAGAATGGGGAAAATGAAGAGGCACTGGGGCTTTTTCTTCAATTAAAGCGGGCATCTGTCTGGCCAACACATTACACTTTTGGGAATCTCCTGAATGCTTGTGCAAACTTAGCTGATTTAAAACTGGGGAGACAGTCTCATGCCCATGTTCTTAAGCACGGATTTCGGTTTCAGCATGGCCCTGAGACTGATATATTTGTTGGGAACTCTCTTATAGACATGTATATGAAATGTGGTTCAGTTGTGGAGGCCAAAATAGTTTTCAAAAATATGGTTCAAAGGGATTATGTTTCGTGGAATGCCATGATAGTTGGGTATGCACAAAATGGGCAAGGAACTGAGGCCATTGAATTTTTCAGGCAGATGTTGAAGGCCGGAGAAAAGCCTGACCATGTCACTATGATTGGAGTTCTCTCTGCTTGTACCCACGCAGGGTTGGTTGAAGAGGGGCGCCACTATTTTAATTCAATGAAGGAGTATGGTATTGAACCATTGAAGGATCACTTTACTTGTATGGTTGATTTACTTGGTAAAGCGGCTCGTCTTAATGAAGCCATGGATTTGATTAAAACAATGCCTATGCCTCCTGATGGTGTGGTGTGGGGTTCTCTGCTAGCTGCATGTAGAGTTCATGGAAACATTGACATGGGTATATTTGTTGCCGAGAAGCTTCTTGAGCTTGATCCTAATAATTCTGGATCATATGTTCTTCTCTCAAACATGTATGCTCAACGGGAGCAGTGGACAGATGTAAAAAGAATTCGAAAACGTATGAGACAGCAAGGGGTTGTTAAACAACCAGGGTGTAGCTGGATTGAGATTCGGAGTATGGTTCATGTTTTCATGGCTAAAGATAAGAGGCATCCACAGAAAAATGAAATATACTCGCTTCTGAAAAATTTAACGGAGTTAATGAGGCTGTCTGGTTATGTCCCTGATATCGGTGCTCTTGTTGCTCATGAGGAGCAGCAGAACTCAGAGTATAGTAAAATGCTCTCAAGAGAATGGTCAGTGTGACATAATTCCTAGAAATCTTGTTATACATGCCATTTCATGGTGACTTGCTATTTGCCATCTATAAACTTTTTAGATTGAAAAGTAAGTTTACACGCAAAAACACTTCACGACTGTTTGTAATATTACTATTGTAAGAACTCTTTCATTAGCAAATTGACTAGGAACCTGAACTCGTACATATGATGCAGGATTGAAACACCAGTTGTTAGAATCAATTCGAGAAATCCTGTAGGATTGTTGGTAGATGGTTCTATCTAATGGTTTGTTCAAAGCCTTGATGTTCATCATCGAAATACTTCTCCTTTTTCCCCATCGCCGTATCCTTCTGTGCTTCTCTTTCCTTCAGAAATCCTCAAGATTGAGTTTCACTTTATATACAGAGATATTAAATACTAGGTGTTAGACCCGTCCGATGGACGGGGAAGGCATACACATTTAGACATTTTTACATAAATTTTGTATTTTTTATAAAATATGTAATGAATTCAGTTTTAAACATGATTACCTCTGGATTTACAGGAATTTGTTTTTTTTTACATGACATTTTAAATTCACTGGTGATAAGGTTTATGCAGATCTCTCTAAATTGTTAGGATTTGGTACTCTCTCCAATCAATCTCTGTGTTAGGATTTGGTTCATGAAAATAAGGGTTTGGTTTTTATTATTTTATTTTTTTAAAAATTATTTTAGTTGATTTTTTTTTGGTTTTATTATTTTGTTTTGTGCATTTTTAAGTCTAAGAAATTAAGAAAATGCCACATAGGATTAAATCCTATGTGGCATGTACCCCATGCCTTTAGTTTTCTCTCTCTGGTTTTTGCCTTAGTATAATATATAAATATAGATTTGCCCGGGGGCGTCCTCCCACCTAATAAATTGATATGTAAACAATCAAAATTAATTAGGAATGAATTTAATTTTTGATGAAGATAATTGATTGACCGAAAATTAATTTTTTTGAAAATCTTAAATAAGTGGAGAAGGAAAGTTTCATTCACTGTCAAATTCAAAATTTGAATCAACATGGCCATCTGATCTCTTCGTTAATATTGTAAATATATTTCTTGTTTTTAAAAGGGGGTGATACGTGGCAGAATGGTTTATACAATATAGTGCATTTGGAGCCAAAACATTTTAATAAGAAATTGCCACATCAGCATCCTGTTTTCTGCTTTAATAGGGTAAAAGGGATATCCTTTCAAATGAGAAAAAAAAAAAACTCCGAACAGTGAGACATATGATATATTCTTTCAAATAAACAATATTTTATAATATTTGTCTCGAAAAAATAGTGCATATTATGTTTTAAAATTTGTATCTTTTTTTTTTTTTTTTGCAATTTATATCATGTCTATATAAACTACTCCCTCCGTCCCATAATTATTGTCCAGTTTTACTAAAATGAAAGATTTTATTTTTGGTCAAACTTAACTACATTTTACCTTAAACAACCGGATATACCCCTACATAAGTAATTGTTTAACCACTAAGATTTTATGGATAATGTTTTTTACTAAGGACAAATGTGTAACTTGATCCATAAAAAGTCAAATTTGACAATAATTTTGGGACAAAATTTTTTAGACAAAGTGGACAATAATTATGGGACAGAGGGAGTACTTTTTTAGGACGGGCTTTAAGGTTTTGCGCAGAAAATTGAAAGAAAAGAAATTTTAAAGAGGAGAATTTAGAATTGAAGTAGCAGAGTTTAGATCTTCATATGGTAAAATTAGAACTCATACAATTGGACAATAAGAGTGAAAGGGGGATAACAAGGAATCTGTGGGAGAAATCAGAGTTTCATATTCAATTCATAAATTCATCCTTGTTACGACTCGAAGCTATTGCCGTTACAGTGATTTTGTAAAGACTATTTACAATTTCGATTCCTAATATTTTTCTAATACTATTTAAACCCCTCAAGCATGAATAAATACCATGAGATTTAAAAATAGTTTTGTTTTAAAAAATAGTTTTGAATATGTATGATTTTAACTATATATATATATATATATATATATGAAATGAGGCTTTCATTGATGAAAATAATGAAAAATCTTCAGATGAACTAAATACAATGCTCATAAACATTGTTAAAAATTTTGAGATACAAAAACACGTTATAAATGTTAGTTAGGATATAAGTATTATCCAATAATGTAATTATAGTCGGCCTCCACTATATTTTCTGTCGAGATCCGTTACTTTTGCCATACGTGCCATTTCATGGTATGTTTATCATTCGCTATCTATACACTTTTTAGATTGGAAAGTAAGTTTACAAGCAAAAAAGAAGGCATCGAAACTGTTGTAGTATTAGTATTGTAAAAACTCTCTTTGGCAAATTGACTAGCTAGGAAGCTGAAGGCAAATTATCTGGTTCACTCGGGGGCACTGTGTACCCCCTGCAAATTCCGGTGCCACTGTAAATTCTAGCCAAAATTCCAGCCGCCTCTCACACACACACTCCTCACACACAATCTCTCCTCACGCACACACGAAAAAAGGACTATCTTATGAAAACCGGCGTGTTCGGCAGGGCGGCGAAGTCGGGGCGGGTTGGTGACCTGCGATTCCGGCGGCCACGGGAGTCGATTCTGGTGGTGGCGGTGGTGAACGAGAACGACGAAGAGGATGAGGTGGCCGCAGGAGTCGATTCCGGTGGCGGCGGTGCTAAACGAGATAGAGAAGGTGGCAGCAGTAGTAGATTCCGGTGCCGGATTCGTTTTTCTTTTGTCGGATCAGTCGATTCCGACTGGGGGTGCACCGTGCTCCCGGGTACACAGACTCAAACTGAACTCGTATGATGCAGGATAGAAATGCCACATATTAGAATCAACTCGGAAATCCTCTTTCAAGACTAGGATAAATATATTGAAGAAGATGATTAAGAAATTAATTGTTATTATTTCGGCAAAAGAAAGTAGTTTAAAAAGTTCTCTTTCTTGTGGGGAAGTCTACTCCGGAAACGAATACAAAAATACAAAATTATATAAATTTTTTAATTACTCCATTCGCAATCGTTAATTAGTTCGAACCATAACAAAATACATAGCTGTTCTGCAAAGTTTGGTTCCACATAATTAACTAAACACAATACAAATATGAAATATGGACCCATAAATATGAAAAATTATTCCATATCACAAGTGTATCTCTTTTTTTAGTGCAACAAAACACTCATTATACTGGAAAATATTATGGTCCTCTAATTTTGTGGTAACTTTCCCGTTAAAATTACAATCTTGCTCTATTTATGTGTCTGGTTGCACAATTCTACGTGGTACTGCAGGTGTATGAAAGATTTTCTCCATAAATACATACTAGATGCTTGGCCCGGGCATCTGCAGCGCCCCCTCTACTTTAATTTTTTATTAATAGATAAATGAATTCTTGATTTGGAAAAAATAAAATAGTTACACATTTTTTTTTCCTTTTCTAGCCAAAAATAAAAATAAAAATAAAAAAATCATTTGCAAAAGGAGAAAAAATATTGAAAAGTACAACGATGCAGAAATCATACAAAAGAATGTGGAGTAATAAAGAGGATAAGTTTATGGGCAAAGTTAAATTCTATCTTAATTTGAGTGATAAATGATAAATGTTAGGAGTTAAAATTGTGTAGCTATTTTTGTAAAGTAGCTTTTGTTTCTCCGGATAAGAATTTTTTTTCTTTTAAAAGAGATAACACGTGGCAGAATGGTTAATGCAATATGGTGCATTTGGAGCCAAAATTTTTTAATAAGAAGTTGACACATCAACATCATGTATTCTGCTTTAATAGAGTAAAAGGGATATGCAGTTATTTTACTGAGATTACTACACTGTCCGTACGTGTACAACGTTGACCTAACCTATCGTATATTTGTATTTTCCCTATTTTCGTTGCATACAAAAATGTTGGCATATCCAACCTGTTCCAAAATCTTAAGGCCTATTGATTGACTTTTGGAATCAGTGATGAAACCAGAAATGAATTTCAGTGGGGCACGCTGAATATTTCAAAAGTGATTATTTTTAATACAATCTTTACAAGTAACTACAACAAAGTGTTTTATATATATATATATATATATATATATATATATATGTGTGTGTGTAGATATAACTAGGTGTTAGACCCGTCCGATGGACGGGGAAAACATACACATTTAGACATTTTTACATAAATTTTGTATTTTTATAAAATATGTAATGACTTCATTTTAAACATGATTACCTCTGGATTTACAGGAATTTTTTTTTAAATGACATTTTAAATTCACTGGTGATAAGGTTTATGCAGATCTCTCTAAAATTTGTTAGGATTTGGTACTCTCTCCAATCAATCTCTGTGTTAGGATTTGGTTCATGAAAATAAGGGTTCGTTTTTTATTATTTTGTTTTTTTTAAAATTATTTTAGTTGCTTTTTTTTGTTTATTATTTTGTTTTGTGCATTTTTAAGTCTAAGAAATTAAGAAAATGCCACATAGGATTAAATCCTATGTGGCATGTGCTCCATGCCTTTAGTTTTCTCTCTCTAGTTTTTGCCTTAGTATAGTATATAGATGATCATTATAATTATAACTAGATGCTTGGCCCGGACAGATGTCCGGGCGCCCCCTCTAAATTACTATTTTATTAAAATCTAATTGAATTACTATTTTTTGAGGAATTAATTTGACGTATATATCATTTATGCTATGGTTTGGGGCTTAAAAAAATATACCTATAAATCTAAGGTTATAAGGGAATAATAAATAATTAGTTTATAAGGCATTATTCTTAATTGCTGGATTTAGGTATTTTTATTTTTTGTTTATATTAAGCCTGCAAAACTATACGATTGAACATTTGAATTTGAATTAATATATCCATTCATTTGAAATGTAACTAATCCTTATTTGTAGTAAAACATGTGTTTTATTTTAAAAAAAAATTATATAGCTTCTAATTAAAATAGACTTACACGTGGCAAAAAGATTTCTAAAATCTGAAATATGGTGCATTGGAGCCAAAATAGATGCATACGTAGTTGCCACATAAGTTTTATGTCTTCTGCTTTAATAGGATAAAAGGGATTACGTAGCCTCACAATATCGTAAATAACATTCATTCTTTCAACCATCAATTTGTTTTTTGACTTTTAATGCCACTAGTCTCATACTGAGTATAACACGTAATTGTCACACAAAATTTCGTGTCTTGATTAGGTTCGATACTCATTGATTGTTTTCTATCTTACATATACGTATCATCGAGACACATGCCACATGTGTTAAATTTTTGTTTTCTTACAGCTGAATAATACTTAGATTGATAACAAATTGATATGTAATCACACAACAAGGAATTTAATTGTATCATGAAGTCAAATTCTTATTAAAAGAAAAACAAACATAGAAATTTTAAAAAGAACAAAAAATAACGAACGTAAAGGTACACAGCATGCAATAATTAATATCAAAGCTCACAGAATATCCATTAGATGAGTAAGAAAGAATCTACCCAATCAATCGTACTAGTTACTTCCTCCTCCTTAATATAAGACACAAATAACTAATTTTTAATAATCACCAAAAAAGGAATTAAATTAGTTATTATTTGGTGAACTACCAATATAATCCATGTGAAAAATGTTCCCAGATTTATAAGAAACAACCAAAATAAAATTTAGACAACGATAAAACAAACACATTAAAAATGTCTGATAATAAAAACCATATATATATATATATAATTATATTATAGATGCATGGAGTAGTCACTTATACTCTATAGTTTGTAAGCAACGTTACATGGTCGTGTAGAATATAAGTAATAACACGGCTAGAGAGGAGAGATTTCATCAATTGTTGATGAGGTCAAGAACTAATTATTAGATGGTTAGCTCCCCAAGAAGGTGGTATAGCTTGATTTGAGGTGAGGCCAGCTGAGGGCGGCTGTGTTTTGAAAGAGAAAAGTAGCAATTCTCTAAATGGTTGATGTATGCAACGATTATATTGAAGAGAGCAATTTAATAAAACCTTCGTGTTTATAGTTCACGAATTTCTATTTTTTTATTTTGGGGATGGCTGGTTAATTGTTAAGTTTATATTTTTGTCAAAAAAGAAACGTCCGATATTGAATTTTCAGATTTGTGATTTAAGAAGTAATATTTATGTATGGGATGAAGGAGTAATAAGTTTTGTTTTATACCTTATATAAAAAAATATATATGTTTCAATATTGTCATTTAAAATTCTTTATATTCTGAGATAATAAAATTATAGTACAAATTTATTCGTAAAACCTCAAAATGATTGACAAAGTGTTTGTAACTATTGAATTATTATTATTATTATATTATTGTTGTTGTTGTTGTTGCTATTTGAAATCAGCTGTATAAATAAAGACTCATTCAAAATGACAACCTAAAATATCTCCTGCCCTCACTCTGCCAAAACAAAATCAGCCACAAATACAGACAACAATATTCCAAAATTAGAAAGAAACAAACAAAGAAAACGAAAAAGCCACCACAAACCCCCCAAAATAAAAGGCGAAAAAACACTTAAATTAATGGTGAAAAAAAATTTATGATCACAAAATATCTCAAACTCTTCCCTATAAGTATCATTCTTCATTTCATTAATCTCCACAATTCAAACACAAGCGTATTTCATTTAAGTACCTTTATTTGAAGAAGGAAAAAAAAAGGGCGAAGTTCGGTAACTATTCTCAATTCTTTTTGAGAGGTTCTTGCCGTTCGAGCCTTTAAAAAAAAAAACCCTAAAAATCAAAATGGAGATGAAGAAGATCGCTTGTGCCGCCCTCGTCGCCGCCGCCTCAATGAGCGCGGTCTTGGCTCTGGAAGCACCCGCTCCGGCCCCGGCAGCACACAGCGGAGCCGATGCTGCATTGCCCGCCGTCGGAACCCTAGTCGGTGCCTCCCTCTTGTCCTTCTTTGCCTACTACATGCACTAAATTGCATGTTCATCAATTTCCTTCATTCAAAGGAGATTGAAGGATGTGATGCATGCCTTTCATGATGAAAAGGAGATAGGAGTGTAATAGTAATAAGAAATTAAAAAAAAAAAAAAACCACATTTGTTTTAGCTAGATATGAAAAATGTAAAACCGAAAATGTTCTTTTATTGATTTATGCCATGGAATAAAGGGATTATTTTCCCATTACACTCTTGTGCGTTTCTCCTTTTCTTTGTTTGTGCGTCTCTCTCTCTCATAATTTGTTTTTTTAATTTCCCTCCCAAAATAATAGTCATCTTTATATTGTATCAGTTAGTTTACATTAACAAACAAGATTATCTTGATTTGACATAAGGAACACAATTTATAGCAATAATTTTTCAGAAGTGAGAAACAATATGTTACATACGGTGATGCACGAGTTGAGATAAGTTTTTTTTTTGTCTTATTAACGTAAATGTGTGATTTTTTGGGCGGGGATCGGGTTCATATCATTTGATCCTGTTGAATTACTGATATTCGTCCATTACTTCTAAATGATGCAGTGATGCACTATAATATGTAGACAAAATACTTACAAAGGAGGCCAACATGGAAAATAAAAACTATGGTACGATAATAGGGATATATTAGCGTTGATCAATTGGGCAGCCTTGAAGTCCAGAAAGGGAGCAAATATTGATTTATAGTTTGGTCGACATGATTAGATGCTTTTGTACAGATTGAATAATGGCATTCGGGTATCAAATGTATTTCTTGAATCCTTAAAAAATCATATTGATGTATTATTTTGATTCAACAAACTAGTTAGACTCATTCCCTTTCCCACGGACGGTGGCGACGAACAAGCAGAAAAATTCTTGGAGAGAGATTTCGGCCACGTTAGATCGATCATTAGAGAACATGGGAAAAAAATATATAAAAAATTAGTATACCTCTCATTCAGAAACTACAATATATAAGTTGTACTCTTTGCTGCCTCTGTTATCTTGTTTTGACATTTGATAGCCTATAATTTTCTTTTACCTTATGAAAAAAAGCTAATGACCATTTGAAAGAAAAAAGAAAAAGAAAAAAAAAACTAATGCGAAAAATGATTTGTAATTACATTTTTTGAAATTGTAACCTTATACATCTTAATTTTAATTAGATTAACCACACATATTTATGATGACAGTGAAATGAGTATTAGAGATTTTTTTTTTTTATTTTAAAAAAAGAGTACCAAAACCAATGATGATAGTGAAACTCTTTTCTCTAAAGAGTTCGAAAAAGGAAATCTTAGAAAGAGTACATATTTCTTTCAAACCCGGGTGGAAGATCCTTTAACGTCCAGTGCTTATTGCCAAAATAATTTAACATGACAGGGCGGTTTCCAGCGTTAATTTGTTTCGACCACGAATCGGAACCTAAATTGGGTCACTTCATGATAGAATTAATGTAACTTATCAAGGTAATGTTATAATTTAATGTTATAGAACAAGTGGACTTATTCTTTTACTGATTTTGTGACATGATCAATCAAGCAGCCGAGCAGGACACAGTTTCCAATAAGAACATATCTGATCTCCATCATCATTTTGAGAATATATAGAATTATCATGCCATAATTAATAATGGGGGCTAGGGAAGCAAACTCTTAACCTCTTGTATTTCATATTTGCATGCATACTCTGCTTTGAATCAAACGTGTCAATACATTTCCTCATACGTGTATGAATGCTAGCTGATTATTCATATTCCCAAACCTTGTTGATTTGAAATGCAAATTAATATTCAATCACGAGCAACCTGAAACATCATCACATTCTTTTGTTTCTTCTCTTTGTTGTCATAAATTTTGCCTTTTTTCAGAACAAAAAGAAAGGCATTCTGTTTGGATTTCAGACAAACAAAACCTCACATGGGTGTGATGTCCAATTGTCCACAAAAAAAAAAAAGTGAAAGTAAAAAAAACCTAATTAATTTCAAACCAAATGGCTTCCATGCACGATGTCCGCTTGTCAAAAATCTCCTAGCTTTTCACCCTATAAATAAAAGAATTTCTTCCCCCAAAACATCAATTCTTGCATGTTGATTGATTTGGTCTTTACAGAATGTCTCCCAAAAAAGCTTACTATGTTGCTACCTTACTAGCCCTCTTGGTTGCATTGATGGCTTGTACAAAGAGCATTGCGTATGGTAACCCTTTGGAGGAGGAAGAAGAAATTGCGGTTGCTGCTCCGGCTCCGGCAATAGCAATGGCGGCTGGGGGTAACTTGGGTTCCCCAAAGCCATCTTCTTCCGTTTTAGCTTTTGGGAGCTCTTTGGTTTTGTACGCATTAAGTGTTCTAATGGAATGAATTGAGATGATGTGCTGTTCTTTTCAAGCAGTAAGTAGTAACTAGTAGTAGTAGTACCATATGCATTGATGTGTGTACTATGATCACTTTCTTATTACATTGAGTGTAGCGCAGCCCTCCATTAGAAGGTTTCTTACCTTTTATTGTTGATGTCAATGTTTGTTCGTTTTTTTTTAATGGTATTCCTATATTTCATTTTAATAATTTATTTTGTTCTAAAAAAATAGTGTAATCCTATGAATAATATTATAAATATAAAATTCAATGTGCATTATATATTTAAAGAAGCGGTATTTAAAGGTCTAGGTGCCACTTTCATGAATTTCAACATAAAGTTCAATGTGAAGTAATTTTTTGTTTGGAAGAATTTTGGGACAATGAGAATATAATGGAAAAATATGGTGAATAAAGCCATATAAATCATGAAGGTTTGTTTTAGTACTCCATCCCTTAAAAAAAAATAAAAATAAATAAAAATTATTAATATAATTTAACAAATTGAACTATATTTTTCTATGACAGAGCGATACGGTAAAACTAAAATATTGAATCCTATTGGAAACCCAGTGCATAATGATAATGAAATGTTCATAAGAGTACTGTTACACAAAATGTTACTCAAGATTCGACCCAATAACAAAACATATGCATTGTCGTACTGAGATTATTTTCACTGATATAGCTTCACTGATATTTATACGAATTCTTTGTGAATCAAGGGAGGATGAAAAGGTGAGCATAACTATCAGCTGTGAAGATCTTTGAAATCCTCTGAATTAATTTGTTTAATCAATAATTAAAAAAAAAAACCTATTCTTTTCATCCGTACTTAATTTGATCCGTTTTTGCGGATTCTTGATCTGCACCTGCACAAGATCAGATGAACGGGGATCATGCATCATCATTTTCTTTTTAATATTTTGGTAATTAGCTAGAGCAATTATTGGTAATATATATATGTAGTCTTTAGAAAAAAGATTCTTTTCCTTGATTTTGCTCATCTCCGTCTTATTTCATACTTCGTTCCAAAAAAATAAATCTACATTATTATTGAAAATAGTAATACAATTCCAAAAAAATAAATCTACATTATTATTCAAAATAGTAATACAATTCTAGATTAAAATATGGACAATTTTGTTGAACTGTGAAATGGAACGAGCTCGACCTCTGGTTTATTTATTTATTTCTTTTCTAATCTGAAAATCCATTTTCCTGGATATTTACCATTTTACCCCGTCCGTTTTGAATTATTCTGAGTCGACGATCACTTTTCATCAATTTGTTTTCTGTCAAATTTAGATTTCAGAATCACAACACGTTAGCTCTGATGCAACACGATTCTCCGAGTATTTGATTATATTTAATTGATTGGAAACACAACCTAATTAATAAGCGACTTGATTTGGCCGGATGATTCTATGAGTTGTGAGATCTGCAGATCACAATCAAAACAGATACGCGCGGATAATGTAAAATGATGATTACGGGTTTGACTGAATGAATGACGTACTCAATTACGAAATGGTTGTGTAATTTGAAATTTTTACCCTTCAATTACAGACTAATTTTTTGAAATAGTACCTGGTGTGACTCGAACCTGTGACCTTCAGGTTGAGTGGGTTTGTCCTTATCCACTGGGACAACCCATCATTCACTACTAATTTGCTTTCTTGTATTTTTTTAGGTCAAGAAATTAGGTTAGTTAGCGCGCTATTTTTCTGGAACTAGAGAATATTTACAGTCTTTCAGATCATTACTACCACTAAACTAAGAATGCAAGGATGAAATAATGAACTAAAAAAAAATTAGAAGCTTTCCATTTAATTATGCCCATTAAATCATCAGTGGAGCACTAACTACGCACGAATGAGTTGTGTAGTAGTTGTACTGTGGTACATGCAACTCGAATTCATCCCTATAAATTCTGGAACTTAGCTAGTGTGACACCCAAGTACAGCCAAATAGCAAAAACTAGCTAGCTTCTATTTCGACACTTTTTGCCTCTTAAGCTGCTCACGTAGCTGGTTTTTGAGGTTTCCCAACCATGAAGTCTCTCACTTATGGGTTGTTTCTGGTGTTGGTCACACTCTACGTCGGTAAGTGCCCGACGACCATGTATATTAGTTTTATCTATATTATCGTATTTGAATATTAATCAATTTTGTTGAACTAAAAAAATACGATGTTATTCCACTCGCAGTTTGTGTACTACCCAACTCGTACGCAGCAAGGCTGGCGGGCGGCATCTCTGAAAGAAAGCTAGGCTTTTTATCAAACGATTGTTCCAAAGACTCTGATTGTCACGCGTTATGTAAACCGGATTACCCAGGTTACAGTGAATATCATTGCAGGCAGGGATTGAGAATTTTCCCTGAGGCCAAATGCAACAGTGATTCCGACTGCAAAAACCTGCCGGGCTTGTGTCGTAAAGCTCTTATTTTCTATTCTTGCGTCTGAATATTATTTCTCCCTGCGAAGATGGATCCAATTAATGGTGCAAATTGAATTTTTTTTCCTTATTTATTAATTTCCTTTTAATTTGTTGTAATCAGAATTTGACTATCCAGATCAAATTCTGAGTTATGCGTTTACAATACCTTGTACTTGAATATCAAACCAGTATTGTTTTGTGTGTTTCTTCGTTTACTTAATTTAATCTACTTTTCTTATTTTACTCCTTACTTGTCCCATACTAATAGTGTAATTTATGAGAATATCGAATTTGAAAATAGTAATTTGATAAAATCGATAATCACTATAAGTTAATAAGTTTTTATGAGTCCAAGGCTATTAATTTATAAACTTTTTACTGCAGTGATATTCCGTGTTGAATATCAATTGCAGGAAAAAAAAATTGTGAAAACTGTATATTTCTTATTGTCGAATTCAAATTAAATAATTTTACACAATATGGGAATTCTTCTTAGCAATATTTATTGCAGTAGGACCCTGGAAAAATACCTTGCAATTTGATTTTACTATAGTGCTAATCCGCTGGATTCACGAAGCTCCTGGGATCCCTACTTAAAAACTATCACTATGTTACAAGTCCCAATTTTTTTATTAGTTATTTTCTACATTTAAAATCAAATTATTGCATTATTTGTCTTTTTTTTTTCTTGTAACCAGTCATATGAATACAATCCCCGAAAAACAAAAGAAAAAAAAAATTTAATGATGTTGATTACCACCCAATTGATCCCAGTAACAAAGTTCCTTGTGAAAATCTACTGTATTTTCTCGGAAGAAGGCCTTTGAAGAAGCCGTTTGATACAATTGGTGTTTCGGGTTTCTCCCAATCTGAAACCCTTCAATTCTAATCTTGGACAGTGTTGTTAAGCTCGGTTCGGATTGGCCGGTTGAACCGGATTAACCGAGAATCAGAGCTCAAGCCGAGCCGAGCAGGTGATAAAATCGTCTAAATAAGACTCGGTTAAAACCAACCAAGATTCTGGTTAAATCGAAAATCGGCTTAACTCGGGTCGAACCGGGTTTTGACTTTTGAACTCATTTTTAAAATTTTAAAATTTTTTTTGCACTACTTTTGAGGTTTATTGAAGTTGATTTTTTCGCTTTTAGTTCTCAACTAGATTCCTTATACTTTTAATGACCCCCTAACTTTTATAATTGTAAGTTTAAACTCTTAATTTTAAATTTGTAAGTCTAAATTTTTGGATTAATCATTCATCCCACATTATACATATCAAATTGAGTTATAATCATTATTTAAAAAAAAAATTAAATATTTATAACTCAAGCAATATTGATCATTTTAAACTAAAGTAAAGAAAAATTCTAACTAAATATATTTCTTAAACATGCAATATAATTTTTTCAATTGATAAAAGTCAATAATGTATCAAATTTATTTATTTTTTTAATTATAATGAGTTAATTTAAACTAATAATTTAGCTAATGTCATTATTTGTTTTATCAAAACCCATTTGAAAATTATGATGCACTAATATGATTTTAACAATAAACAAATATATATAAAATTTATAAAATTTTACTAAAATATATTTTTTATTTCTTAATATTTATTACGTCATTATGACGTCATCTGATTCGACTCCCGAATCGCCTCGAGTCGACTCCCGATTCGCTCGAGCTCCGATCCGAGCTTGACAACACTGATCTTGGGTTTTTGAATTCTAGCTTGACCCATCAAGGTTTGATACGGAATTTGACCAGTTTACATCCCAGATGCTTTTCAACTTCAAACGAATCGATAGAACCCGGAAACCCACAAATACAACCCGAGTACCCGAGTCAGAATCCAGACTCCAGAGTTTAAGCACCAAGAGATCACTGGTCCAACCGTGGAACGGGATGTTCCCGCACTGGCTAACGAGACTTCTTGAAAGAATGAGGAAGAAGATGTATACTTTAACCCATATTTCACAACTTTTTTTACGCTAATTCAAAAATAATAATGATAATAATCCTTAAGTACTGCATTTGTTGATGATCTAGTATATTAATGGAAATTTCAAAAAAAAAATAAAATTCCAACAAAAAGAAAAAGTAGATTCATGGACATTATTGTCAACTTTCCCAACATCTTCATCTGTACAACCAAGCAACTTGCATACACTTCGATGAAAATGCATCTCCAACTAATAGAGTTGACGATGCAGATTACGAACGTGATTATTCATTCCTCGTGGTCTGTGGGTTGTCCTTTGATCAATTGATTAACGTCCAAAGATTAATTGAAAAATCGAAGTGTTATATATCGTGGTTTAGTTTTTTATTTTTTGAGAAGTTTCGTCGATACTTCATTTCTGATATACGTAAATTAATTATTCATTTCTGATATACTTGAAGTTTTGTCGGCATCAATTAATTACGTATTCTACATACCTTGCGTAACATAAATTTTTAGTGAGAGCATTATATTTAGAGGAAATGAAATATTAAAAAAAGTTACAAATTGATCGTCAACTATTTCGGATCTAACCTATGTTTACGTTATTCATTAGTCTAAATGTCACAAAGTAAGTGCTACACCTGATTCTGACTTCAAATCTAATTTCCAATAATGAAAGAATTAATGAATTTGAGAGATGCATTATTAACGGATGAGTTGTACGTGCAACTCAAATTCATCTCTATAAATTATCGACTAATTAAACAGTGTGGAACCCAAGACAAACCAAGCATACCAAACTACTCTTTGCGCCTTTCTTAATTAGCTTGTTTTTTCAATTCGATCTGCATCATCATCAACCATGAAGTCTCTTGCTTATGGGTGGTTGTTGGTGTTGCTGCTGACACTCTACGTCGGTAAGAAACTTCATTAGGTTTACTAGCCATCCCTTTGGAAATTTGTACTAAAAATAATGTTCCTTATGCCCAAAAAAATTTTCACTTTTTTTTTTTTTTTTTGGAAAATTTGTAATGTTTTAGATACAAATATGAAAATAATGTGGACTATCTTTCTACGTTGAATAACACAATGGCTACAGCTAAATTGACTTTTCTTCGTGCAGCTTCTGTGTTACCCAACTCAGAAGCAACAAACCTGGCGGACATCTCCGCAAGGAAGCTGCTAGGATTGTTTTGGCAAAGTTGCGACAATGATGCCGATTGTCATGCCCTGTGTAAACCGGACTATCCCGGCGGCGATACATATCACTGCTCGCGGGCAAAGATAATTTTATATGGGTACCCATGCAACAGCGATGACGACTGCATAGACTTGCCGGGCAAGTGTAGTATAGGTTTTTTCAAATATTGCTTGTAAGGGAGGAGGACCGATCAAATTCGGGGAATTCCGTTTTCCTAACTCTGGTCTCTGGAGGACAGATCAAAGGATGAACACTTTTCTATTATCATGAAATAAGAATTTGATTTCGACGATCAAATTATGTGTTGTCTGCTAAGATGTGATTGCTGACTCTGTTTGTGCTGTAGAGTAATGCATATTGCTTCGGGTTTTAAGCTTTTGTTCATTTGGTTGCCACTAATGCGATGCCATCAAATTTTTTGCACATTTGCATTCTTCGTGTCTCTAACGTTAAGTTACCAACACCACAGCGAAAATCCTTGCATCTTGTTCTGCTTTGTGCCCTGTCTAGTTTAATCGTTGCTCTGTATTAACTTTTTCACTTTGTGGTATGATCAATGTTGGACTTCTATATTAATTTACTCCCATCTATGTATAGTTTATTCCCGACTATCATATGTGCGCACAGCTGCAAATAGCCATCCACTACAGTATGGGAAATATGATGATTGAAATTATATTCGCCTAAAACGTTTCCAACGACATGCAACCCTTGAACATTTTCTATTACCCTGAATGAAGTTCAACAGCTTGAGACACGGTGATAAAAATGAGTTAGATGCACAGAGAATTTCTCAATCATCTCTACGGGGAAATGCAAATTTATCAGGTAGAAAAACTCCGCGCCAAAATAATGAGACTGATATTATTAGCAAAATGTAAGTAATAACTGACATGAATAGAAAACTCTGCTCTCCATTTTTTCTCCCTCTGATTTTGTGTTATCTTTTTTCCCTCTAATTCTTCTCTGGAAATGCTAAATGTTTAAACCAATACGATGATTGATCCATGAATCGCCTATTCACATAATGCCACTACCAGTGTACACAGTACACCACCAATTCACCTGCTCAATCTACAAAACGAGGAAAAGAGGAAAAGCAAACGAACAAAGGAAAAAAAAAAAAAAAAAAAAAACCCTCGAAATATCCATCTGCCAACCGTATGAGGATTCTCCAACTCTAGCTGAATTCCTCAGCACAATAGAGTAAAATCAGGGATGGTTTTAGGTTTCTGTCACCCTCAAAGATTGCCGAGTACGAAATTGATTAATAGCACAGCAAAGAACTAGTTTTGCAGGCACTTAACTTCCATTAGCTTTGGCCTCCGGGCGAACATACGTTAGACTCCGAGGAATGGAAGAACCAGTGTTACTGGGGGATGTAATACTTGTCTCGGAGGTGGAGGGTTGAGTTTCGCGCTTCCACTGGAAACTCCTTGCACCAGGTTTTACTGGAAAACGAGACCGATATACACCAGTAGCTCCTCTCGGAAAAGGAGGCCTCACATATCTGGAAACACTATAGGGAGATGCACGAACAACACGGGGCCAAGGTGAGAGAGAAGTTGCTTCCACTTGTGCTGCACTTTTACGTACTACCTGTATTAGGAACAATCAAGCAATCGATGAACAAAAAGTAACAAATAGTCCAGCTATATATAAACAACAACTTGGGAACTAACCACCAAGAGACCACAGCTTAACAGACCATATGTTGCCAACGAGCCTTCAGAATTAATAAAACGGCTTCTTTTCCAGCATATCATATTAATGTGCTTTGATACTTCTAACTTTCATCAAAATTATATTTCCCCAAAACCTAACCTAGACTTTATCAATCTCAACTGGGGTCAAACACAAAGCCGGGAACATCTGATTCCACTACAAAAGGGAACCAGAAACGAAACTCCATTGCAACCAAACCAAAATAAGCCAAAAAAAAAAAAAAAAAATTAAAACAAAATATTTTTTTTAAAAAAATAGTGATAATAAATAAATAAAATGGCATAGTAATACGAATGAGGCACAGAACAGAAACAATGTTAGAGCGATAGCATGCAAACCAAGACAATGAAAATTCCTTCGCACATCCTTTCATTACTTACCCTGAGAATACGAGACATGAATGAAGTCCCATCTAAAGACAGAGCATTTTCGGCAACCTCCTTACTCGTAAACTCGACGTAAGCTGACCTGTTTTCAATTTGTTTACAAATATCAATCTTAGGAACTCCACATATAAATACCAAAATGCTGGTGGAAGCAACTTAAAGAGATGCTCACCCTTTAGGCTGCCCTGTCGCTGTATCGGTCAAAATAACCACCTTCAAAACTCCCCCCGACTTGTTGAAGTGCCTGGAAAGGCTATCCTTGGTAGCAGCAAAATGCACCTAACAAAGCCACCAAAGTTAGCACAAAAGTTGCATTTTGCTTATGCATGAGCATAAAATGAAAATACAGGTCCATACATTGTTGACGAATAGAGTCCGAGAGTCCTCATCTTCTGTTTGTTCACCCGTAGGATCCAAGCCTGAAGCAGACACAAGATGATAAGGTGACTGGTTTTACATGGAAAACTCAATTGGGCAGATAAGGGTGATAAAAGAAACTTGAGAGGAACAATTGAGTTTTGGCGGATTATAAAGTTAAAACAACCAAAAAAAATCCTATTTTTATTCCTTTTTGAGTGACATTTATGACAGAACATAAAAAGTGAACAACTCTTTTAATGTTACCATTAAAATTAAGGGAAATTAGAAATTACCAGGAGTGTGAAACTGATTCTTTTGAGAGACTTGCTTCAGATCTTCAGATATTTCCTATAACACGAATCCAGGAAACAGGTCAAATGAATCCAGACTGAAATGGATCGACCAGGAGACAGGTCAAACGAATTCATAGAGAAATGGATCGACCATTTGTACAGATAAATCTTACATTGCTATTGGCAACTGGAACAGGGTTACTGTTTTCCTTCATAAGTAGCATGCCAGACTGACGAGGAAACACTTCGTTTGTTGGTTTTAGCTTCTGATTATCTACATCTAAAGCCACCCTCAACTCCTTACGCAGATCCTGAGTCTTTATCTTTTTAGCATTGCTGGGCATACCATGTTGGACCAATGGCAAGCTTTCAACTCTGCCTCCACCAGATGTTCCAGCACGATCCACACTCATTACTCCTCTATTTCTTGCGTTCACTTCAAGATCATTGTCAACTAATGAGGGTTCATTATACAACCTCGTCTCCCTTTGCAGAGCAGATCTATCACTCACATAACGGTCATTATAATTATGTCTCTGATCATAATCTAATCCTTCTTGCTCTTCATTAGTTTTATACGTTTTAAATTCTCCATCTTCACCAGCATCATTTCCATGTTCCACTAACTGATTCATGTTTTCTGAATATTCACGGCGATGACCAAGTCTATTAAACACATTAGTCGATGACTTAGTTCTCTGAACATCTTCTGCAGCTTCTGCTACAGCTCTCATTGCTGCTGACACACCATTTGGCACTCTTGCAAGAGGTCGATTTCTGTGTGGATGTTCTTTGAGGTTCACATCCTCTGCTGATGTCGACACTACAGATCGAAGTCGTTTTAAGGAAGGCTCTGATGTTAAGTTTGAAGGCTTTGAAGTGCCAACTGCATCTCGCACTGCAAACTGCAGCAGTCTTCGCGGTGCAGCAATAATTGCATGAGAAACTCCCTCCCTCTGGATAACAAAATGGAAAAATAAGTGAAAATGCACCTTCAGCTGTCACATATTAGAGAAACACCTCAACTAAAGTACAAATTTCTTCACAGCATGAGTCCAGTAAATAGAAGAAATCAATTGATTTTCCTAGTATAAATTGAATTTTCCTGTAATAAAGGCCACAGTCAAAAATTATAGTATGTGACTGAGGTAACTGATAACCAAGAACGCTTTCACAGCAGACAGAAGCTTATCCTCCAACCAAATTCTCATCTAGATTGATTGTGAAAATTGAAACCAGTTTATCGAAGAAATATAAAATGAATGTCTAATCACACTAATAGCATAGCATATTCACTACAAGAATGTATGAGGTTCATAGCTTCCTTCCTTAAGATTACTACGATTAACGATACTTTCTCGATCTCAATGCCGGTACAAAATGCCACTAAAATCACAAACAGAACGAACTCAGGAGCGACAGTTCTGACAAAAGGACGAGATATAAACCAATAGCAACAGTGCTTTATATTTGAGTCAAGTATAAGATGTTTAAAAACTCCAAGAAAGCCAGCATGATAGAAGAGTCTTCAAGAATAGAATGGAGTGCAAGTCGCACCAATCATTATAAAACACCTAAAACCCAAACAGAAAACCATGTGGGACTGCCATCTTTGGTTACTGCTTGCAACTAAAATCATATAGATCAGAATCAAGAGTCTGGTACTTATTCATCATGAACAAATTAACAAAGAAGAAAAACTTGTCATAACCTCCCTATATTCCTTCGTGACTATCAAATGTAATTAACAAAGGAAACTTTAACAATGTATGTCCAATATCATTATCAATCTAAACCACATCTGTTGTAATGTTTACCTCAAACTTATACATGACTCAAACAACAAAGGTCCCATAATCAGAAATTTATCATGAATTAATTAACAAACAAGAAAAACTGTTCATAACCTCCACTCTCCTGACTATCAATGAGAGGCAGCCACTTGTAATTAACCAAAGAAACTAGAACACTGCATCACATCCAATATCAATATCACTCTGGACTACATCTGTTGTAACGATTACATGAACTAAGACATCAACAAAGGGACATGAAATCAAACCGGCTCAAGGATAAGAAGAACCAGTGATGCAGGAAAAAATAAGAATTGGGGTTTAAGAATTATTAGCAAATTTTAATTTAGGGAGGTTTTAGTATTTTACAGAATTATAAGTCTTTTTAGATAGTTTCCTTTTTTTAAGTTTAGGGTTTAACTATAAATAGGGTTGCTGTACGTTTACAGAGAGGGTAGTTTTTATGATATTTGATAATTAAAGAACTGCGAGTTCTCTTTTCACGGCTGAGTGCCTGTGTTATGGTTTTTATTGGTTTTTGTCTAAAAACCATTGCCTTTGTTCATGGTGATCATGAATCAAAGTGGTGTTCCTTCTTTTCATGCTTCCGCCCGCATCAACCAGTCCCACTGACAGGCTCATCAAGGCATCTACTTTCACTTCTTTTGATTTGACAAGGTAAAATACGTCAAACAACAATAACATGCGCACAGAAGTCAACTTGACCTTTCACTTTGCTATCCAGTTCTAGCACGAACGTTCAAAGCATAAACTCCCTAAAAGCTACATGTGAAAATCGACAGGAAAAAGAAAAACAGCTAAAAGGGATAAAAATCAATTTAAGTGCACAGCTAATTGAGAAACATGATATCATACTCAAACATGATATCATAACTTAAAATTAGGAAACTGCAGAATCAAGTTACAACCACTTTATCAGAAGCAAAAATATCAGGCGCAGAATCAAGAAACATGCTTAAATATTCTAAATTAAATCAAACATATGCCAACAGAAAACCCCAGTACTTTCAAAAAGATAAAATACTATCTCAGTTAGTTACTATAATAATAAAATACAAGCCAATTGACAATAGTCCAACAATAACAACAAAACACAGTTTCTCGATTACAAAGAAATGGGAATGGGAAAAAATTTACCTTGACTTGCTGCCGCTCTTCAGGACGATTCCGTTTTCTGCGAACAGGTTCAGGAGAGATGGATTGTTTTTGACGACTAACCCTATGACTATCTCGGTTGCTATTAACTGTGTCGGCCACAATGCTATGTAAACTGGGCCGTTTACCTTTATCTACTTGTAGCCCCTTCAATTCGTTACTTGGCTGAGATTTCTGTGATTTATCTTGTTTTAATTTCGTAGATTCAGATTCAACTGGCTGAGAACCTCTGCCAGTATGCTCTCTTGCAACAGGATTTTTCTTGAGCACCCCATCAGGATGAGACTGCTGCTTTGGTTGCACATAGAGATTAATATTAGACCCCAGGTGATCCCACAACCTACAGTATACAACAGCATCAGCACTAAGAATTGATCAAAATAACATGCCAAAACCACAATTTGTAGCAAAAGCAAGATAGACATTACCAAGCTACAAACGAATCACTATCATCATCCAGAAAAACATTCAATTCATTCCTAGCTTCATCTTTCCGCCGTCCATTCTTCAGCAACACTATCACATATTCCTGTAATTTGAGTATATTAGCAGATGTGAAGTACAAAAGACAGAACCTTACTCCAAAAATCTATGATTGCAAACTTGCGATAACAACAAATAGAGCTGTAGCTTCAACGGAAAATTCATCAGCGAAACCAAATCAAAGATTCTCCCTCAAAATACCATTTGTCCAGAAGCGCACTATCAAAAACATTTTCATCACCAGGTGGCTAGTTTATGTTCAACTATACCCATCTCAATAACCGAGTCAAAAAGTTTCAAACTTCACATGGTCAAAGTATCAAAGAACCTTCTCTGCAACAGAGTTTTTTGTCCTTCCCAATCTTTCGTAAGTCCATATTTCATAACCAACATAACCGTCAACCAAAGACCTCTTCAGTCGTAATCTACTTCTCTCAAATCAGTACAAAAATCAAAGCAGTAAACAGGGCAAACTGATAATTGCAGATCAGCCAGACACATTTACTTTTCACATTATATTAAATTACAATTCAAGAATTGATGACCTAGCCTAGTTGACAACCAGCATGCAATCTGGGAATAGATACTAGGTATAAAATACCCTCCCCAGCATTTGTACTCATACATCCAGGTGACTTAAACCCACATTGTTAACTTGCAAACCTCACTCCACCAGTTGTGATGCTAAATTATTTTTTACTCTGTTCATAAAAGTTGCAATTCAAGAAACGAATTTTTTTTTTATAATCCTTCTGTAGTCTACTTCCATTCTCATGAGGAAAACCTCTTTTACATACTTTCTCTCTGGAACCTTCTAATCAATATATAACTTGAAGCACATGTGGCACACATAGATTTTGACTATCAAGGACAACAGAAGTTTACAGAGAGTAATTAAAGCACCAAGAAGTCCTTACCTAATTATATGATATACAAAATACAAATTTATTTGCACTACTGATATGTCTAAGTCTTAGAAACCAATATCCCCTTAACCTTCTCCATAATTCACATAAGGACTAGTAAATTACGCTTCTATGCAAAATTTCCATAATATGTCAACCAATTTCCACCATTTATCTTGATCATAATAATAACTAATGCATTCGACTACCCATTTCACAAGCTATGCGCATAATCACCACATCTTGGCTAAAACCAACGGTTGATATGTTTAAGCAGCAAAACAATGTGCAAAACTCATGCCAGCTTTACTTATAGTGCAGAGATTGATAAACCAGTCCAAAATGCCAACATGATGAACCTTTGTATTGTTGACAAACAGCAATCAAAAATTCAAAAAAGATACAAGGAGCTTTAAAATGACAGAGAGAAAATCAGATTGGAAGAATGAAGAGAGGAAAAAAAAAAAAAACATAACGAATTTCACCAAAATATCAAATTCATAACAGTTAAGCCACATCCAAAACAATCCCATAAAGGGTTTGCTGGGCAGGAGATATCCTTCAGCATAACCATAACCAAATTTCTACCAACCATTTCTAATCACATATACAAAGATAATAACCTGGCAGAAATAGGAGTACATGCTCCATAAGCAAATAATGTGGGTAAATGAACAGTTCAACATTCTTCCCAGAAAAATCCATGGCTAGCATAAAACCCTCATATAACCAGCGACGAAAAAATAAATAAATAAAGAAAATAAAAAACAAAAAACCTACCACCAACGTATCATCTGTGTAATCCCCCATATACTCCTTCAGCTTCTCCTTAACATTCTCTCTCAACTTCAACACGCCTTCGCTGCTGAAATTAACCCTAAAAGTCCGATCATCACCAGTTCCATCCGTACCCTCCATTTAGCTCTCCAAAAAATAAGCCCCAATTCGAAACACTACACGATTGCGCCCCTACTTATCACAATCTCAAATATATTTATATACAAATTCGATCATCAACAATTTCCAAAATGTAGGCAAACAAAATAAACCAGCCTCCCGGGAAAACAAAACCAAAAAAAAACTAAAACCCTAATTCTCTCGGCGCGGATAATTTGATTTCCGATAACATAAAAACTACGGTAAGAGGAAGGTGACGACTCCCAATTTTACGTATTTGGGCATTCGTAGGGTTTTTGAAGAAATTATTTTTGGATTTATTACAGAAGAAAAACCCAGAGAAATACTCCAAAAGAGAAATAGGGAAAAAAACCCGATTTAATTGGCTGGGTTTCTTTGGCCTCCTCTCTCTCTCTCACACACACACACAGACAGGGGAGGGGCGCGTGACGAAATAGGGAAGAGAGACGCTCACTGGTTTTTTCTCTTCTCATCCAAAGTCGGTTGTTACGTTTGGGGCGGGTCTTCTTAATCGAACACTGTACCCGACCCTTTTATATATTTCGATTTTATCTAGAGTAAACTGCAAAAAGATCCCCTCTATTTTTGTTGTAACTGTGGAATACTCCCCTCAATAGTCAATACACTTTAATTGTAGCCATCAACTTTCTGAGTTTTTTTTTCTAAAACCAGCTCCAACCCCAACCATTAACACAAATAATTGTGTTGATCTTATTGTTACTATTAAAAGTGTATATATTTGGGCAACCGTAACATCATCATCATTTTTTAAGTTATGAACGTATCTATATTTATTGTGCTTAAAGTCTCTTTCTCTCCCTTCAAACTCCAATACATATACATACGACAAATCAAATTTAGGGGGAAAGGAGAGCAAGAGGCTCATTCGGTTCAGAGTTTTGAATGACATGTGTTGCTTTAGATTTATCTAATGAGTAATCTTAAATGAAGTTACCATACTCTCAAAAGGTTGTTATCAAAAGTTACTTGCATTCCCATCTCAAAATCAATTAGTTGGTAATCTTTGAAACTTTTACAAATCAGTATTTCTCTATCTGGGTGATGAGAGATGCTAGTTGTAAATATCCACCCTCAAGTTCAATGGTGTCTCAGCCTAATGGACTTAGATCACAAGAACACAATTTATCAATAAACCAATTATATCACTGCGTCAGCCAACAATTCTTTGGTTATGTTATACTGTCGGATCAGTCACAACACGCCTATAAACAATGCTCCCTAGTGAGGCACCCACGAGCTATGCTCCCAGTAGATTAATATAATATCACCATGACCAGAATACCAACACAGATTCAAAACGCTTTTCTTACATGTCAAAAGTCACTTGGACTCCCATCCCGTCTCAAAACTAATTACCAATGAGTGGCGTGATTTTTGGAACTTATATACTAAACTTGGTTGAGAAGATGTGGGATTTTAGCTCTTAACATTTTTGTTCGTTTAACAAAACTTAGTTGCATTTTAGGTGATTCCACCATTAATTAAAAATGATCCTTTTATTTTCCTATCAAGTTTAAACATTTTCAAAAACAATTTTATATAAACTTATAATTTTTAGTCTTTAAAGTATTTTTCGGTTCAATTTTCTTCCCTAATATTTTTTTACGTGAAGAAATTAGTCCTAGTAGTTCTTTTTTTGTTCAAAATTAGTCCTATTGGCCGGATCCGGCAACTATTTCGTCAAAATATGATTTTTTTAAATTATTATTTCTAAGAAAAGATGATTACAGAATTTCCCCCAAATTTTATGATTTATCAATTTCACCCCAATTTTTTTAAATTTTTTCCAATTGAATCCAATTTAACTTTAGCACATTAGTTTTTCAGTTTTACTCTGCTCACTTTTATTTATCCAAATCAAATCTTTCTATCCAAAAATATAAATGTCCTATATGGTTTACCTTATTGCTCTCATATTCACCATGAACAAACTAATCCCAAATGTTTTTTAAATTATTTATTTTCTTCAAAAAAAGTTTTACTTTGTTGGCTCTATTCTATACCAAAAACCAACACTTCACCATTTATTCCATTGGTCCATACAAAATTATAAAAATATAATTGGAAGAAAATAAATAAGTAAATATTTTAGGATATTTTTTAGTTTGTTTCTGATAAAAATGAGAGAGAATAGCGTAAATAATGTAATAATTTTATATTTTTGGAAGTAAGATTTGATTGGATAGCTTGTTCTATATTTTATATTTATTTTATTCCCCTGGCCTAATACGAAACCAATTACCATGTATTTTACCATTTACTCATAAAATTAATAAAATAATAATGTATCTAATAAACAAGTATAGATTGATAAAAGAAATTTCACTAAATAGTATTAAATTAAATAAATTTTTTAAGTAAAATTTACATTCACAAAAATTTGTTCAAAACTTCTTTCACGTTTTTTTTTCACTCCAATGCTTTATTTTTACACGACTAATCAACTTTTCATATTAGAAAAGTTTGTATTTCTGGATATTCATCTTTTTAATCTCTTATTTGACCTTTTTCCAGACAAAATTTTCCCAAACATTACTTTATTACCTTATCTATATTTATTATGTGAAAAAAAATTAAAGCAGTGAGGATATTCAAAAAATAAAAATTTCTTTGTTGTTTTGATTTTCTTTATTGAAGTTAAAAAAAAAAACATAAGGTAAATCAAATAGGGTTCTAATTTTTTGGGGGTGAAAATAAAAAATAACTAGTAAAAAATATGGCAATAAAAATTTTTAGAGTTTGAGAAAATGGTGTGTGGGAAGAAAGAATTAGATAGAAAAAGGGGAAAAAAACTAATTTTGCACTTTTGTTTTTGAAATTTAACAATAATTTATCACAAAATATTCTATTAATTTAAAATTATTTATAGAGTTATTTTATTATTTTAGCAATATTTTCTTTTATATTATTATTGCATTAATTTTAGAATTTTTTGGAGATAATATAGGGAAAATTGATAGTTGATTTAGTAATAGTGGCCGGATAAATAAATATTTTAGAATTTTTTTTAGTTTGTTTATGGTAAATGTGATAGAGGATAGGGTAAACAATGTGGTAAATTTTACATTTTTGTATAGTAAGATTTGATTGGGATAAATAGAAGTAAATAAAGTAAAATTGAAAAAGTGATGTGCTAAAATTAAAATTGGGTTCAATTGAAAATAATTTTAAAAAATTGGTGTAAAATTAATAAATTATAAAATTTTGGAGAAAATATGTAATTATCTTTCTTTAAAACAATTAAAAAATCATATTTCGCCAGGGTAGTGGCCAGATCCGGCCAATGGGACTAATTTTAATTAAAAAAAAAACTATCAGGACTAATTTCTTCGTTTGAAAAACATTAGGGATGAAAATTAAACTAGCAACAATTAAAAAAGAAATTCTCTCTCTCTCTCTCTCTCTCTCTCTCTCTCTCTCTCTCTCTCACTCACCACTACAGGCGATTTCACGGTTAGTGTGTGAAAAGAGCAGTTTTCTCTCTCTCTCTCTCTCTCTCTCTCTCTCTCTCTCTCTCTCTCTCTCTCACCACTACAGGCGATTTCACGGTTAGTGTGTGAAAAGAGCAGTTTCGCATTTCGGTGTGTTCTACTTCTACCGCACCCACGATGGTAGGAAAGGCGAAGCAAAGGGGGAAAACAATTGAAGCTGAGGAGATTGTGCAACATGAGGAGGAGAATATTGCTTTGATTGAGGAAGGTTCGAGTTCACGATCGATCCCCAAATCTGATAAGGTAACCAGTTCTAAATTGATTTGCAACTCAATTGGTATTCATTATTATCTACTTGAGAGTCTGTGTCAGCATAAGATAGTTGATGAATCAACGGTGAGTCCTGGAATTAAGTCTTGTAATTTGGAAACGGGAACTAGGGTTGGTACTAGGAATTCAATTTGGGATATTTTTGACCCTATGACACTAAGACCAGCGGAGAGGAAGCTGGAGTTTATAGAGCCTAATTTGATTAATAATAAAGCTGTTGCTAAGGTACATAAGACTGAGTTCCAAGATAGCGTTGATTACTGGAGACCTTATTTGCTCTGCTATGTCTTAGGTGCCAGTCCTCTTTTCTATGTGGTTAATGGATATATACGTCGACTATGGGGCTCACTGGGAGTAGATAAAGTTCTTTTGATGAATAATGGGGTCTACATAGTGAGGTTTAACTCAATGGATGCTAAGGATAAGGTGTTGAATCAATCTATTTAGCACTTTGATAGCAAGCCATTTATTGTCAAAAACTGGAATGTTGAAGAAGGATTTAAGGTTGAGGATGTTAAAAGAGTGCCTATATGAATAAAATTGCCTAAGTTGCAGTTAAAGTATTGGAGTGCCAAAACTCTTAGTAGAATTACTAGCACTATTGGCAGACCATTGAAGATGAACGAATCGACGTCTCAGAGAAATCGAGCTGGCTATGCTAGGATTTTAGTTGAAATAGAAGTCTCTAATACTATGCCTGATGTTCTATGGTTTGAAGATGGGTTTGGAATAGTCCAAGAGCAACCAATTCGGTATGAGTGGAAGCCTCTTAAGTGTGACTTATCCAAGGGATATGGTCATACTCCCAGTGAATGTATGAAGTATGTGGTGCAAAAATGGCAAAAGAAAGATTCCGAAGTGGATAAGGAAAAAATAAAAGAGCAAAGTAAGGTGGATAAGGAGGTTCCAACCAATATGAATCTAGTATCCAGTAAAGGTAAAGCTTCACAGAGTCTGCAAACTGCTGGAGCAAGGTTAGGCAATCCACAGATAACAAGACCAGTGCAAATCCAAAAAGGGATAGAAGGAAAGACTGGAAAAGTTACCAAAGCACATGAAGGAAATCAAATAGATAAGCAGAAGGGAGCAAGGAGGATAAGTAATACTGAAACTAGTAACCCTATTATAGGGTCTAGTAACCATGTATTACATCCTTTCATGGAATGTGGGACTTAATTGTCCCATGAAACATAGAGAGGTTGGCAACAATCTCTCTATTAATAGAGTTGGTATAGCAGGCCTTCTAGAAATAAAACTTACAGGTACAAAAGTAGAAGAAATAATAAAGTCAAGGTGGAAGGAATTTGATTTTTTTTGCTAATAGTTGTGCAAAGGTGAAAGGAAGAATTATGCTAATGTGGAGGAAAGCAGCATATAATGCATCTATCACTATAATTCATCAGCAGATGATAGATTGGAGGGTTAAAGAGATTGGCAGTAATAAGATATTTGAAATTACAGTTGTATATGGGAAAAAGGCTTATTGTTGTTGTTGTGCAGTTGCATATGAGGATTATCAAGTACAAGGTAGAAATGAGCTCTGGGATCTGCTGTTAAGCATGGCTAGGAATTACCTCTTCTGGATCGTAATTGGTGATTTTAATAGTATAATCAACCTGAAGAGAAGCTGGAAGACAAAATAAGTCAGGATCGGCTGTTTTCAAAATGGTAATGGAAAATTGTGAACTGTTGGAAATAGCTACTCAAGGCAGTCA